CACTGAATTCAAGGCGATGGCAACACCAAGACGCAACTGCAAATCGCTGCGCGAACAAGAGATGACCAAACAGCAAGCAGCCACGATGTGGACACCACATCACCACCACCACCACCACCACCTCTCCCACAACGTGGGTGGCCACACGTACTCCACGTCCATCCACCTTTACCACCACTTTACCTCCTGTGTCCGTGTAGCAGCTACACCATCAATCATCCTTGCAAGCGATTCAATACCACCCCCTCCCCCCTCCCCCACCCTCATTGATGTCCGCAGGTGGTTCTATTCAGTGCATTTGAGAGGATCACTGGGTCAGCGTCGTAGATGGCATGAGTCTCGGGGCACTCTCAAACGCACGCACACCCCTACAATCAACGTGAGTAGGCGAACGCTCCACTTACGCCAGCATTAGTGACCGTTACTCACCACTGCTGTGGATTGGTTCAACTTCAAGTCAACTACGGAGTGGACTGTCCTCGACAGACCACTTCCATTCAACTACAAGCAGATGTGAGCCTCGTGGCTCGTGGACAATAGCATGGTAGAATGCCAAGACCACCTTCCTCACACCACATTTGCATGCACATCGCTCATTCGCGACACGACCTCGACACACGCATCACCTTTATGCGCCAATTCACTCCTTCTCACTTCTCAATCATTTCAACCCACACACATTGGTCCACTTGATCCACCAACTCTCTCACGGATCCAACGACATCACTTTGGCAAAGTGCATTCATGATTCACCACACCTCCATCTGTCTGTTGCGTGTAACGAGGCCGTCCTCAATGCAGCTGTGATTACAGGGCCCTGATAGGATTGATGAGTTGGACTTGTTGAAACACGCGCACACCATTGTGAACGTAGGTGAATACACTCCCACGGTGGGAGACAGTGTCAGTGACCACAAGGTATCCTGTACGAGTGTACTTTTGCAAGTGTCGCATGTACACCTTAGGGATGAAGTGCAAAACGTGTGCCATGTCGCACCTTACAAACAGTCTGGAAGCTCATTGTTGTGGACCAGTTTTGAGTGCACACAGGTGTTCAGCCTCGTTGTGATTGGCTGATACCAAAATGCATGCGACCCATATGCTATTGTCATTGGACGCAAGGACTAGGCCAATGAGGATTGAGGTGGGCGAAGGCGTGCGCGCACGTCGACACAAGGGTAGAAGAGAAGGGGTGTCCTATCCTCATGCCTTCCACACCCTACGCCAAAGCGTCTTACGCGGAAGTCGCCTCTGCATCATCTATTCCATCCACTCACTCGTCAACATCCATACACCGCGTCGAGGGTGAGACAGATCTTGCGCAAACAAGCACTCGTCAACACATCGAATGCAGACGAGTACGTTGTGTCTTCCTTCCCTCTACCTCCCCCTCCCCCTCCCCCTCCCCATCCCCACTCTCGTTCTCCTCCTCCTCCCCCTCCTCCTCCTCCTCCTTCTCTTCTCTCAACTCTCACTATCCATTGTCTCTGCACGATGGTATTTGCCTTCCTCCACGCAGTGTGTCTCATCTCCTGCCTTGTAGGTGAAGAAGCAGAGGATGGAGCGTGTGCGACGAGCACGTATCTCGGACAAGATTGCACAGCTGCATGGTCTCGCCCTCTCCATAGTGGGAGTGGATGTGAGTCACTGATCGATTTATTGATTAGACGTAGTGATGAGAGGTCAAGCGTGTGGTGCCTGGTCACGTGTACTGGTGGGTAAGAGAGGTGGGAGACAATGGATTATTTGGTTGCTAACGCATCCTCTGCTGGTAGGCAGGAGCGGATGATATTGACGGTAGCAGAGGTGTGTGTAATGTCAGAGGCGAGACGAGACGAGACGAGACGAGAGGTGACGACTACCTTCTTTGGTGCTGTAGGCAGAAACCAATGTTCGTGCAGAGAAGGTGGAGATGTTGGGCTTATGTGACGAGGTGTTGCATAGTGTGAAGAGGATGTTAGTGTCGAATGCAGATATGCTGCAACTGTTGAGGGCATTCCACAGGGACAGTATTGTGACCAATGTTGTCTGCCAAAGCATCACATGCGATTGTAGCGTCACCTCTCAACTTGGCTTTTGTGATAGCAATGCTCCTCACTCACGCATTCACTCACTCACCTGGCACCATCATCGTCATCATCCCCTTCCTGCTCTGATCACACCGACTGTCGATTGCCACCGAGGAGACATCAAGAGATGTGGGCCCAGTGTATGTGAAGCGCTGTTGTTGTTACGTAAGTGTCGCAACACGCCATGAGGCAGTCGATTAGCCTTCCTTCATTTGTTACGTCTCGCTATCCTACTGCATTCATGCATATGCATATATGGCTTCCGCTTGTCACGCACGTGCATTGGGATCGTTGGGAGGTACAGCACAGTCCATAATAGTTTGGTGGAGGTTTGTGTGTAAGCAGGCCTCCTTTGCTAATAGGTCCGCAGGATGTCACGCTGATGCAAGTTATGTGTCCTGTCAAGTGATCGCGAATCGGGTGATTGTGTGTCGCATTTCTCGAAGATTGAAGAAGCTTTTGTGCATGCATGTAGTCTTACATGTGCATGGTCACTATCTGCCTAAGTGCGTGGTGTATTTGCTACTCTTCTCGTAGCAGGTTTGCTGCGGTCTTGACAATGTTTCTGAGCCAAGTCTGCACCATTCACCTGCCTCCTCAATAAACGCCCGCCTTTACATGTATTTTTTACTAATGGAATATAAGCAAGCCTAGTGAAGGTGCGATTTTGCTCCACACACGTGCAAACCTACTAATGTAGCGATTGGTTCCACCAATTCGTACGCGTGCTAGAGCGTT